ACCTTGTCAGCCGCATGCAGGTCGATGGTCGGCGACTTGGTGTTGAGAAGCTTGTGGAACCACCGTGCCCACCGTTGGCGAATAAACGTGGGGTCCCGAAGGACCTTGCCGTCCTCGTCCTTGATGTTCTGAGAGGTTTACGACCTCTTACCTTCGACGTCGATCATCTTCAGGTGCCTGTAGAAACCCGCTTCATCCCCCTCGCGGCTCTTCTTCTCGAGCTGCCGTACATAGCCCTCGAAGAACGTTTCCAGTGCTCTCCACCTCGCGATGCTGCGCTTCTTCCGCGCCGCCTTGAGCATCGTCTTCAGGGTCGCCTCGCAGGCGCTGTTCTTTGAGGCCCCACGCAGTTGCTGCTGGGCCGCCTTAATCTCCTTCGACGCTTCAGAGATTTCGTGCTGTGCTCATTGTTGTATCTCTCCATTAGACTACTCTCCCGGGAGGTGAGGTTTCACGGGCACACGCGGGCTCAACTCAATTATCGCATCATCCTGAGTTTTCGACTCCCAGTCCAAAGTGCTCGAGAATGTACGCCGCCTACACCCGTGTACACGGATGAGAGCCGGCAAATAAAATGGGCCCACCTGATGTTCCCTAATTTCGTAGCCCCCCCCCCCCGGTGTTTGCCATCAGGGTTGGGTGTTCGTCGGTTGGCAAATAGTAGTTGTTAACGACGTTATAGAACAAGCCGATCATCACTAGGTGAGCTCGGCAATCAGGTTTTGTTACTATAGGACACCTGTCGGGAGTATAACCATGTGTACACATTTGTTGTTGTTGTTGTTGTCTTGACATTAAAGATCGTTCCGATCTCTCTACCCAGTACCTTCTTATGTCCGTACTGATCCAACACTCGACGCGGTCGATTCCCGTGGTCGCAGGCTGCTTACCCTAAAAAGATACACTAAAATACTATGGCCCCGAGGGGTCTGCAAGTAAATAGAAATCAACGACAGATATGCATACAAAGCGTAGGAAGATATAGCTCCATCGGGGTATCTAGTCACTGGGAGAGCGACAAGAAACGCACCGTCGGAGATTTGTCTCTTCCGAAGGACACCTTCTCAACGTGTGTCTGCGCAACGTCCCTCTCGGGAGATGGCTCCCAACAGGACCCGATTCGCGAGGAGGCCGAGGCAGCCACCGGCGAGGAGAAAGGCGCTACCCCCGAGGGGACAGAGAACGGCAGTGACGAGGACGACAATGACGGCGACCAAGCGGAGTGGGGCGACGAGAGCGAGCGGCACGTCATGTACCACTTGCTCGATCGAGGGCTTCCGGTCGCAGAAAGTGTCCGCGGACGATCGGCACGCGCTGATGACCTCCGCTGGGGGCCAGTTTGCTGACATGGAGTCCAAAAATCTGCCCGCCCAGGCTGCTCGACAGTGTCGCCGCGAAGCAAAGTCTTATATTGTGTTGTCCCCACCGACACGGGGTGACACGACGGAAGAGGGCGAAAATCGCGATAAATACCGTAGGAAGAATGCTTGCTTGTCGGGGGGGGGAATGGACTGCGTGCCTGAGCTCAAACAAAATGGTGACGTCTCTGCACGCAGCCCTGAAAATGGAAATAGCGTCGTGCAAGATGTAAAATTCGTTGTTTGAACGAGAGCGGGTGTGCTTGATTGCCACAGCCACGAAGTAAAAATACAGGCACAACGCCCATGTATCAACGCCGAATCGGTCGTACATATCACCACTCTCTCCAGAAACACCGGATTGGCAAACCACTTGAACATGCGCATGTGATGGCTAAACAAAGCACAAAAAACAAGAATCACACACACATAACAGGGCCTACCCTCGCAAAAAACAAGCTACCAGCGTTCGATAAGTATCAGCCCGGAGCGTCGGTTTACTCGGGGCACGCGGAAGTTCACCACCACGTACCATGTTCTACACGAGGACGGCTTGCCGGCTACGGTTCGCACTCCAAACGTTGGCAATACTACGGCCTTCGAAAGCACGAAGCCTCCAAACGAAGGAGCTGCTTTTGTTATCAAACATTCTCATTACTACGGCCTTCGAAAGCGCGAAGCCTCCACAGGAAGCACTTCTTTGTTACTGACATTTAAGAGGCATTTGTCTCACCATACACACGTGGACACCGAGATGTGCAACCCTACAAACACATGACCGCATCAACAAGCGAAGCGTTAACGGCACGGAAGGAGAGACAGTCGAGGCCAGGTCAGGCGTTTAGGGCGGACCAGGCGAAGAAACCACAGACAAGGTCGCCCATGTGGACAACACAAAAACTACAGCACGTAACACGTTGCTCCGCGTTTGTGAACGTCGAGCGGTCGCCATGCCCCGTAGCCTTCACCGTGAACATATCTGCACACACACGCTGTTTCGAGGCTTCAGACGCCCGGCACAGGTGATTGCGCGGCGCCTACAGTAGTTTCGTCGCAAAGACAAGGCAAACAAGAACGTATCCCAAAGCAGCCATTACCACGAAAAATTGATTTTATCCTTCCGCTTTTTAGGAGCGGCGGCAGCGGCAGCGGCGGCGGCGGCGGAGGCACACTGCGAGTGCCGCAAGTCCAGCTGCTGCCAACCGTTTCAATCGATCACGAAATCTCCGTCCTCCTGGGTGAAGAGTTCAAACACCCGCCGCGCGCACTTCCTCTGCTCCGAGCTGCTGCCCATCTTCCTCTGCAGCAGGCCGGCCCTATCCGCTTCTGGCACGGATGGGTCCGACAGGGCGGCCACCAGGTCGCGGGGGAGAGGGTAATGCGCAGCGATCTCGACGGCCTTGTTGCCGCTCACGTGCTGCACTTGTTCGAGCATTCTCACCTGGTGTTGGCGGGTATACGCAGCATGAAAGCCAAGTTTTGCAAAAAAATAACATTTCTCAGACCAACATCCGAAAACCTGCACAGGTTTTGACAAGCACAACAGTTCTTCCGTACACAAGCACAGATAGGGAGGGTGTAGTATTATGTTATCGTCTTCGTGAGGCACGCCTCTTTTTTCGTACGTATCTTCGGTGACTTGGGGGGAGGGAGGTGGGAATGCCGTACATTGGGGGATGTTTTATGGCGGGGGGTTGTACTGTACCGCTCGGATGCCCAGTCGCCCAAGACTGCTGCAACAGCGTGAATGGCCCAGTTGGTGGTTCCAAGGCGAGGAATCGTGTTCAACATACGTTCTCCGCGTAACTTCCTCGTTGTCACAACACCGAAAAGTATGACATCCCACGTCCGTGCCGTCGCCGCAAGCTCTTTCCACTCTTAACAACCCATAGAGAATTAACTCTCAAAGAGCAGATGGGACATGACGTTCTCCGGTTTTTCCAGGGGGGTGGTATTCACCGACTCACCCAGGTGTCCATGAGTTCCTTCTCCTTCTCGGGGAACCGCTCGGACCCTCTCGCCTCGGTCTTGCTCCGAGCGACGCAGTGGAGCTCCGTAACATCATCCTTTGACATCGAAGAGAGCAATCAACAACAACTTCATTGCGCACACGCAGCAGGTCATGTTCGTGAACTTTTCAGAAGAAGACCATGAAAATGCATGTTTCGTATGCGTTGGAAGAAAGTCCAAGAACGGAAAAAAAGGATATCATGTTCCAGGGTTCACTTTGGATTCCACGCTGGACGAGAGGACTGGCGCCGGTCGTCGCGAGAAGGGGGCTCCGTGGCTACCACCCTTCAAACTGTCGACTGTTTCATGTGCGCAATTTTTTTGTCAGCAACACGATTCGACAGGTGCTTCTGCTCCACTGACGTCGGCGTGTGTTTTTCCTTGTTTTTAATGTTGAAACTTCGTCCAGACGATTCTGTGAACAGGCAGGCAGGCAGGCAGGTACACGCGAGGCCGGCAGACCGCTGGAATCGGCCGGCGATGAAGCACACAAACAAGACGTGGGAACTGCCGCGATGGGTTTCATACATCGGAGGTTTCAAACGCAAGGAAGAAGCGCACATGCACTAGTAGGACAGCCTTGTCTAAGTAGTGCCAATAAGCCAAAATACACCCAAATAGCTTGCGTTGCGTGCTACAATAGTCTTCTCGCCTTATAGGGCATGCTCGAGAGAGACTTGGTGAGGTCCCAGAGGTACTGGCCGGTTTCCTCGCTGTTCTTGGTAAGTCGAGTCTCCACGTCCTGCCGAGCAAAACAACAACAACAACAAAAAAGACGCACGAAATCAGCTAGCACCTACCCCGTTCAGGCCAACAAAAGAGGAGAGAGGCAGACAAACGTGGTCCGCAGCAACCCAGGAAATTGACAAGTGCCGCACGGCATGCACGCCAACGATTGTGACTCTCCGTCACCCCCTCTCCCCCCCCCCCCCC